TCTCCACCCACATGCTCGGTTGACGCGGGAGAGATCAATGACAAAAAAAAAGAGAAATTTGGTCTGTCGCCATTGCCTCAACCTCCAGACAATTCCACCTGGATGATTGAGAATCTTCATAAACGTAAGCAGTGTTGCTTTTGAGCACTCCAGGTGAGCTCCCAAGCCAAGCTCCAGGCAGAAATCCCACCAGGATATGCTGCTTACCATAGCTGTGGTCCTGGCAGTTGACTGATAGTCCTCTTGCCTGCCAGTAATAGCTGTCAATCTCCAGATGTTGCTTTCCACTTCCCCCCCTGCTCGCTATTTTCCTATCTCCTTTTCTCCTACTTACCCACCCACACTCTGTCTTAGCATTTGCTTTTGTAAGCTAAGAGCCTGGATGGTGTGAGGCTGCCTCTGGATGTTGGCACATCCTTGGAAATGCCAGGGTGTGGCTCAATTAGACAGGCAGCTGGAATGCCAGCGTAGATGCTTGTGAGTAAATGAATGCATGCAGGAGCCCATCTCTCAGGTTTCTGGGGCTGTAAACTTTTACAACCCTTTGAGAAGAACCATGAGCTATGCTGAGCCTTGGGTAAGTGGGGTGGGAAGTATTTCTGTAGCTGCTTTTGCCAAGTTCAGACAACAGTCCCAGCTTCACTTCCTCACATTATTCCAATCTGTAATACAAGTTAACATAAATGTGTAATGATAGGGCTGAAAGTGTGGAAAATTGTTTCAATAAACCTGTTGAACAAGGTTGTCCAATAGTTTATTTGTATTTATGTATATGTATTTATAAATGCAAAACATGACTTTCTAGTGGGTTCATGAAACTATTAACTTGAAATAATGTGAAGGAATGCAAGTAGAAATGTCTCTTAAATTATATAAATCAATTTTTGAGTTTGATTCATTTCAGCACGCTTACCTTAGCAAAATACGCATAGAACTTGGTGTGGTACCAAAACAGGAGATAAGTTTATAAGATAAATTAAAATATCTGGATACAGTCTAAAACCTCAAACCCTAGACATACCAGGTTTATTATGAAAAGATTACAGCAGTAGGTCTGATTTACTCCAATTTATAGAGAGACCAAATATGATACCAAAATCTTCTATTAAAGAAATCCTTGGCATATCTATAAAACATGAGGCATCATCCACATGTAACAGTATGTCAGCTGTTACACAGCATTTTCAGCATTTCTAATAGCAAGAGTAGGATCTATAATATAAATTAAAAAGAAAAAGAGTTAAAGAATGTTCTTGACATATAGTACAACATGTGAACTCAGCTTCTTTGAGTCTAGGTACTGTCTATGGTTAACATTGGTTCATCTCAAAAAACAAAATGGAGTTGTGCATGGTTAGTACTTAGATGGGAGACTATCAGAAAATCCTAGAACTGTTGGCTATCCTAGGAGGTCAAGAAAACAGAGGTAAAGTTCATCTATATTGTTGGATATGTCCATGAAATCACCAGGAGTAAAGCTTGTCTCAAGATTTTATCTTTGGAGTCCTTGGGGTTCTCTGCGCTTGGTTCTTCTCTTGCAAACGTTTCATTACCCGGCTAGGTAACATCTTCAGTGCTAAAATAGGATGGAGTTTGCTCTCTATTTATATACTGTGGCATGCTTTGCCAGTGCTGGTGGGGTTGGGTTTTTTTGTTTTTTTGTTTGTTTGTTTTTGTTTTGCTCCTCTGGTAGTTCCTTGATTAGCATATGTTTACCACCAGGCACACAATCAAGCAGTAAACATATGCTAACCAAGGAACTACCAGGGGAGCAAAAAAAAAAAAAAACCCACTCTTACCAGCACTGGCAAGGCAGGCCACAGCACATAAATAGAGAGCAAACCCCATCCCATTTTAGCACGGCAGATTGCCTGGTGGTAAACATATGCTAACCAAGGAACTACCAGGGGAGCAAAAAAAAAAAAAAAAAACCCCACTCTTACCAGCACTGGCAAGGCAGGCCACAGCACATAAATAGAGAGCAAACCCCATCCCATTTTAGCACGGCAGATGTTACCGAGCTGGGTAATGAAACATTTGCAAGAAAAGAACCAAGCTCAGAGAACCCCAAGGACTCCACAGTTCAACCCTGGGCTACGCATATTCGCCTCTATTGATTTTATCTTTGCCTGAAGGGAGTTAAGCCACAAATTGTTAACTTAATTTGAGAGTGGGGGAGAATGGAAAATTGGGGCAAGGAAAAAAAAACCCTTCCACATTTATAGTGTAAGGTTTGTAGACCTGAATCTCAGAAAATCCAAAACCAGGAATTCAGGCAGAGGCTCTTAAAAAGAAAACAGCTCTTTAATCGGCGGAGTGAAGCAGCTGGGTGGGCAGCAATCCCAAAAAGTTCTGGGAAGCTTGATTTTATCTTTGCCTGAAGGGAGTTAAGCCACAAATTGTTAACTTAATTTGAGAGTGGGGGAGAATGGAAAATTGGGGCAAGGAAAAAAAAACCCTTCCACATTTATAGTGTAAGGTTTGTAGACCTGAATCTCAGAAAATCCAAAACCAGGAATTCAGGCAGAGGCTCTTAAAAAGAAAACAGCTCTTTAATCGGCGGAGTGAAGCAGCTGGGTGGGCAGCAATCCCAAAAAGTTCTGGGAAGCTCCACACCAACAAGATTTCAAAGGCAGTTTTTATAGCTTTGCAAGGACAATAGATTGCAATGAATAAGGCAGTTTAAGGCAGTTTGAACCAGGTTCCCCCTTTACCCTCAAGACCTTTTCCCTGCGCTCTCCCCCCTCAAGGTCTTCTGTGTACATGTCCTTCTTGCTTCAAGATAATAGTTTCTTCCTAGCGCAAGCAAAAAAATAGAGGCGAGATAGCGAGAGCCAGGCTAAGAAAATCTCCCCCCTCCCCTTCAATAGTAAGCTTAAAAGTGAGTTGTAAAGCAAAGATAGGAGGACACATTTCATGAGATTTCCAAGCCACTGTCCTCCTTGTATTATATTCTTCTACCAATCTTATTTATTTATTGGATGTATATAGCTGCCCATCTCAAATATATGATTCTGGGCAGGTAAGAGTCTTAAAATGTTAAAAGCGTATAAAAAGACGAGACCCAGAGCAGCCAGGAAATTGTAAACAATAATCAATAGTCAACATAACCAGGAGACAGGCTTCCTCATACACTGGGGGCCCCAGACTAATGCCCAGAAGCCAGCCTTCAGGGCCTGGTGAAAGGCCAGCAGGAACAGGGCCAGTCTGATATTCCAGAGGGCGGGTGCCACAACAGAAAAGACAGACTGTCTTTCCTATACAACTAAAAGGTTCAATCAGCATCCAACCTTTGACTATGCAGCACAGTAGATATGGAATTTTTAAAAAGTTATTTATAACTCCCAAACTTAATTTTATTGGTTGAAACCCTGAACTCAAATATACTGCAGTCTTTTGTTATTATATCCTGCTCTAATAATGACCTTGGTCTAATAAATGATGTCCCCCTTCTTATAAGAAAGATTTTCATCAATATACTCTGCTCCAAAATACACAAGCTCCTGTTTAAGACAGGGGTGGGGAACTGCACTGAGACCATTTGATAGGACAGTAGAATATGAAGAAAAAATAATGGATAAGAGGAAAACAAATCTTTGAGGAATCAGCAGGAGAGGTGCATGAGGCTATCAGTGATGCATCTGAAAACCTTTCCTCCTATGCATATGTAATCTATTTGAGAACAAGGGTTTATTTATAAAGATGAGAGTGAGATGGAAGAGGATGTGGGTGCTATCTCCTGTTAAGAGAGAAGCAGAACAAAGTGGCTGTATATGGACCTACATGCAGAGACCGCCAGAAGCAGTTTATGAAGCAGCCATGTGAGTTTGGCAGAAAATGCAGATTCTTTACTGATGCATAGAGAGGTACTTTGAACATTCTCCTATGTGTTGCAAGTACTTCTTTCAAAAGATTTACACAGCCATACAGTGAGATTCAGAATGAAACGTTTAAGAGAATGATTTCTAAATTTTCTCTAAGAGGCAGAAGAAATACAAAGGTGATGAAGAATATGTGAGACTCAACCTTTCTTTTCTTCTGAGACTCTAGTTGATGGAGTCATGGAAAAAGAAGCTTATCTCACTATGGTGTATGCATGTGAAACAGTTATTATCTCAATCTGTAGAAATAGACTAGAAACTTCTAATTCTTTTATTGTTTAGTGTCAGTATTTTCACATCATTGAAGTCTAGTGATAACTGTATGTTATTAAAACCATATAGCACTTGTTTTTCATTTGTGTTCCAATTAGAATGATCAGTCTGGTTTTCCTCTGAAATACAATTTTTGACAAATGCATTAAATATGCATTTCTTAAAGCATAACTTTAAAACAGATGGGACATTTATGAAGACTGATAGGTGTTCACAGCTAACAGTAGCAATAAAGAAAACAATGGTATAGACATGATGAACTAACAGTGCAAACCGGTTTGTACTTGTGCTCCAGTGTCGGATGCAAGTATGAAAATTGTGGGATATGTGTTGTTGTTTTGAAGCATGTTTAGTAATTTCCCCCTGAAGACACCTATATGAAGACATTTGAATTTTTAATATGCCTTCCTTTATATTACAAACACATTTTTCGTCCCCCCCCCCCAATGTTTTACAGGGAGATACAATTGTTTCCTGTGATTCTTATGGTGTATTGAAACTTTGGGATGTTCGGAGGGGAGTTCCAATGGTCTCAATTGATGCTGGTCCACACCCTGGCAATCAGGTGGCTTTTGATCCTTCTGGTAAGATCTTTCTTGACATGAGATATCAGGGACAAAGGTTTTAGCAGGGCCATTTGCCTTCAGTGCTGGATTTATTAACACTTTTAGAGACCTAATTCTACTACTTTATTGTATGTAGAACAGGTCTGACAGGTGAAAAAGAAACAAATCATAAAATGTTGTTACTATCATTGAAATTAATGAAGTTAAAAAAAACTCATAGAAGAAATACGAAGGTTATATTTTATTTATTTATTTATTTATTTGTTTGTTTGTTTATTTATTTATTTATTTATTTATTGAATTTGTATGCCGCCCATTTCCCCAGTGGGTGACTCTGGGCGGCTCACAACAAAAGTAAAGGCCACAAACAGTTAAAAAATAAATACCCCCATTCATTAATTAAAATTAATTAATTAATTAATTAATTAAAAGGTCGAGATACAGAAACAAACCCTATACATAAAAACTAAAAAACATTCAAGATGATGGGGAAATAACATCAATTACCCCACCAGCCACTTCTACTTGTGTAATCCCCCATGCCGCCCCCAGGCCATCTGGCATAGCCAGGATTTCACGCTGTTCTCAAAGGCCATGAGAATGGGAGCACACTGCACCTTGGGAGGTAGGATGTTCCACAGGGTGGGGGCCATGGCAGAAAAGGCCCTCTTCCTAGATCTCACCAATCGAAATTCCTTGACTGGTGGAATCTGCAACATGCCCCTTTTGCCGACTGAGTGGGGCGGGCTGATATTACAGGGGTGAGACGGCTCCTCAGATAACCTGGTCCTGTGCCATGAAGGGCTTTAAAGGTGATAACCAACACCTTGAATTGGACCCGGAAGCAAACTGGCAACCAATGCAACTCACATACCAGTGCTGTTATATGGGCTCCCCTAGGGGCATTCAAAACTGTCCGTGCCGCTGCATTCTGCGCCAGCTGTAGCTTCTGGATATTCTTCAAGGATAGCTTCATGTAGAGCGCATTGTAGTAATCCAGCCAGGAGGTGACCAGGGCATGAGTGACCATGCGGAGGGCCTCCCAATCGAGGAAGGGGCATAACTGACGCATAACACAAAGTTGTGCAAAGGCCCTCCTAACCACGACTGCCACCTGCTCTTCAAACAGGAGTCGTGAGTCCAGGAGGACCCCCAGATTACGCACCAGGTCTGTCTGGGGTAGTGCGACCCCGTCAAGAACCAAAGATGATAAACTCCCAGATCTTGAGGCTCCCTGAACCCACAGCCACTCCATCTTAGCAGGGTTCAGTTGAAGCCTGTTGTCCCCCATCCAGGCCCCTACAGCCTCCAGGCACTGCAAAAGGGTAGCCACAGCCACAGGTACCATCACTTAGGTCACCCCGTATGGAGATATATAATTGAGTATCATCAGCATACTGATGATACCTCATCCCATGATGCCAGATGATCTCACCCAACGATTTCATGTAGATGTTAAATAGGAGCAGCGAGAGCACTGAACCCTGAGGCACCCCACAAAGTAGGGGCCATGGATTGGACCTCTCGCTCCCTATCAATACCGATTGGGTTCGGCCTTGGAGAAAGGAGCTGAACCA